TTCAGAATAGAACATGATCAATATTATCTTTCAACGTTCAATTTAAATAATTGTAATTGCACAAACTATGTAGGCTACAATTTCAATTTGTTTATTGTGAAATAACTCAAACATTTATGTTTATTTTTCTGTCCTCTGATAAGCATTGCTCAGGGCTGCCATTCCCAAAAGCTTTAATGCTTTTATGATACTTTTGGGAAACGCAGCTCTGCCTGAATGCACTGTCAGCAGTGAGTGAATGTTCTCTGTGATTGATTGGTTCTGTCTTGCAACATTTATCCCGTTAGCAGGGGATAATCGCTACATTTGGGGTGAAAAAGACAGAATTATGTATTGTGCCAAGAAGGTTGCACTGTCTGTTCGTTCACACAGGTACGAAACTGATTGGTAGCTGCCTTTAGCGGAGCCTTTACCAATTATCTCCATTGATCAGAGCATTCGGCACGGTCGTCTGTGAGTGACGTCACCTCCCAATACAAACACGCCCCCTAGTATAGTCCCGCCCCCTCACATTGATTGGCAGCTTTCCATGTAGACATCGGAAATTCAAATGCAAAAGGTATTTGGATTCCATTTGAGTTTTGGCAGGTTACATGCGCGACGAAGCGAGAGTGAAAAAGCAGACGCGGTAATTAATATTGCTATTTAAATATGACAGGCTCGTAACTCCTAAGACAAGGGAAATACAGTTGCAAATGGACTTTGGTTTTTCATTTGAAATTTGGCAGTCACTGTGCATTCGCGAAAGCGAAAATGCAAACGGTAATGCAGGATTTGCAATTGCATTTGGATTATGTCACAATTTATGCGTCCACATATGGAAAACGCAACTGAAAATACAATTTGCAATTCCTTTTGAAAAAAGCCCTAAATATTCTTCCATAAAATGGAATATACTTTCTTTCTCTTTGTATTTTTATATCATGAATTTCCAAGGTGGTACAGTTGATAGTGCCACAATGGGGCTTACGTTACTTGGAGCTGGCTGGGGCTTACGTTACTTGGAGCTGGCTGAGGCTTGCGTTTTGTGCTTTTGCATTTCCTATCCATCCGAAACTGTAATAATTACTTTTACTATGTTCTGAACAATCTTGTAAGATGGCCTTTGTGGGATGTACTCCGCTATGCCCTTGTAGATTTATCCAATACGCCAGCATGATCTTGATCCTCCTAATACGTAAAGGCATCTCTCCTGTCTCAACTTGTAATGCAGATACTGGTGATGATTTAAACGCTCTAGTACAAATCCGAAGTGCCTGTGCCTGTTCCACATCATTTCAGCTTTGTGAACATGCTGTTTCATTAAAAAGATCCGACTCAAATGAACGGTTAGTTCACGAATCAGACATCGCTAACTTCCGGTCAGCTGATAGTGCGTCATAGGTGTTTGCAAACGAAACTTCTGTAGCTTAATGCCTGCTCCGTCCACTGACACCACACACCGCCGCGGTCATGGGAGAAAATGATGAAAGCCAAATAATTGAGCACCACGATGATGAGGAGATGGAGAAGATGCGGACGCCGAGGAATCACGCGCATTCCTTTCTGGAGAGCGTCACGTCGTCGGAGAAGGACGGATACAGTAGCACGCAGTCATCGCATCGCCTGCTCGCCTACAGCGATGCGCTTATCTCCATCATCGCCACTGTAATGGTGAGGAAACCCACAGACAGCCTTTCGACAAAAGGCGTGGGACATTTGACCTTCTTGAATGCACATTTCAACTGATGTCCACATGACAAACCGCTCTCGTTTTCAATGAGTCACCTGTTCTCTTATGCATGTTTAAAAGGTGTCATGATTTTGTGTTCACAGATATTGCCTGTTGCACATACAAAATTTCAGGATAATGAGGTGAAAAAGTATATTATGCTACCCTTCCAGGAATAGCTCAACCAAAAATGAAAATGTAGTCTTTATTTACACACCCTCATCTGTGTGACTTCCACAGAAGGCAGACAAACACAAAAGAAAGTAAAATGTATTGTCTGTTGTCTATGTTTGTGTTCCAGAGAAGAAAGAAAGTCTTGTGGGTTTAGAGCAGTGGTTCTCAACTAGGGAGCCGGGGCCCACTAGGGGGCCTCAGCACACTTCCAAGAGGGCAGCAGGACAACTTAAAATTATTTAAATCTATTGCCACTACTATTTTCTGTTAAAGGGGTCATATGATGCGATTTCAAGTTTTCCTTTCTCTTTGGAGTGTTACAAGCTGATTGTGCATAGATAAGATCCCTGAAGTTGCAAAGACTAAAGTCTCAAAATGTGTGTGTGTGAGAGAGAGAGAGAGAGAGAGAGACTTTTTGACTTTTAACATCTCTTTAATCACCAGAAAACATCAGGTTTTTTTTTAAATATATATAAAAGTCAAAGTGTACAAGTATAAAAAATATGAAAGTCAAAAAACCTGAAAAAATAACAACCCAAAAGAAAACATCATGTTTCCGTATCAAAAAACAATAAACACATCATATAATCATTTTCATACAAAAATGTTTAGAGATCCATCACAATCAACTTCACATATGCAGTTATTAATGCCACACTTGTATTTAAAGGTCTCCATATCCATTATTAAATTGTAAAAAGCAAATTCAACCTTTAAACGTGATTTTATCAAACCCCTAAAAATCAAAGTAACATCAGTCTGTCCCATTCCAACAATCTTATTTTTCCGTGACAGCCAAATAGCCAACTTTGCTTGGCCAAAAACAAAATTCACTAATACAAGGGTCTCCCTTGTAGAATGCTTATATTTAGGACCATAGAATATACTTTAGTAAAAACCTCCCCTAATTCACGGCAGCATTCTTCTAAAAAACAAAACAGAGGAACAAGCCTTTCACATTCACAAAATAAATGAAAAACTGTTTCCGATTGTCCACAGAAAGGGCAACCCTCCCCTACCTGTGGATCAATGTGTGCTCTGTGTCTGTTCGTAGCTATTATACCATGCACAATCCGCCACTGCAGGTCTCCAGACCGTTTCTCAATGGGGAGTTTGTACAAGGTCCTCCAACTACCTTTGGGTGAAGAGCCTAACCCAAAAAAATCCAACCACTTAGACTCCTTCACACTCTCCAGAGTATGACAGTGAAGAGCCTTTACACACATCACATATAGTTGCTTCTTCCCAACAGCACTGAAATGTCCTGACTGAGGTGATGCAAAGGATAGGATGTTGCCTTCTGCTTCTTACCACTCGCCATTTTCTGCAGAAACCTCCAGGTCTGGGAAGGATAATACTTCCTCTCCACCAGGTACAACCAGGGACACACTGTAATTCTGCGGCAATCGTTCCTGCACCTCGGTCAGAAGTCTCTGAGCAACTCGAACCGATCTTATGCCAAGCTCAAGAGCCAATGTCTCTGCAGACAACCAGCCATCCACGGAGGCTAGATGTCCTACTTTAGTGATGTTTGCGGAAAGAGCAGCATTCCTCAGATAAAGGGATTTAAAACTATCCAACTCAAGTGCTGGGTTGAAAAACAATGGTTCTTCCTTTAGCCAATGAAAATGAGTGTCTCTTAACTCTCAAGAAATCCTGAAAAGTGTCCATGATTTTAACACTGACTTGTAAAAGGATGTCAGACCACTTAAGTCCAGTTTATCACAATCCAATAAAAACAAGTGATGATCAAATCCCATCTTTCCTGCTCTTCTCAGAAGGGCACAAGCAACCCCGAACCAACTCACGTCCTCTCCATAAAGAAGCCTTTGAGCTGTCTGGAGTCTGAAGGCCTTTATTCGTGACCTAATGTCGATAAGCCCCTGACCCCCCTCTTGCCTAGGCAGATAGAGGACTGGGGCCTTCAGCCAGTGCTGTCCTGACCAAAAAAAGTCTGTAAGTCGTCGCTGAATGTCTCTTATCAAATCTTCTGGGGGCTCCAGCACCATCATCCTGTGCCACAAAGATGAGGCAACCAAATTATTACAGACCAGTACTCTTCCCCTGTAGGAAAGCTGGGGTAGCAGCCAATGCCAGTGAGACAACCGAGCACACACTTTCTCCACTAGGCCCTCCCAGTTTTGCTTCTTATATTCATCAGTTCCCAAAAACACACCTAAATATTTTAAACCTGCCCTTCCCCATTTCAACCCCCCTGGAAGTAAGGGACCTTCACTATCTTTTCCACACCACAAAGCATCACACTTTGCCCAGTTAACTTTCGAAGAGGAGGCTTTACCGTAACATTCTAAGCTTTCTTCTAGATGTTGAATATCTCCAGTGCCTCCAATTAAAACCGTGACATCATCTGCATAAGCAGAAAGTTTAACAGGCTGCAGTGTATTAATTTGTAGACCCCTTAACTCTCTTCTTAGTTTACATAGTAAAGGTTCAATGACAATACTATAAAGCTGCCCTGAAAGAGGACAGCCTTGCCTGATGCCCCTCTGAACCCTTATAGGAACACTAAGACCCCTGGCCATTTTAATTAAACACGTAGCTTCAGAATAGAGCAGACTTATTAGTGAAATAAAATTATCCCCAAAACCAAAGGCTTTAAGTGTTTCAAAAAGATAGACATGATCTACCCTATCAAAAGCCTTTTCCTGATCCAATGACAAAAACCCCAACATTATTAAAAGAAGCAAAGTCAAAAAGATCTCTCACCAAATGCAAATTGTCAGCAATAGATCTACCCTTTATACAGTAAGACTGGTCCTTATGTATGATTTGTTGCAGTACACTATTTAATGTTTTGGCTAAGCATTTAGAGAGAATCTTATACTCAGAGCATAGAAGTGCCACAGGCCTCCAGTTCTTTAATAAAGTTAAGTCTCCTTTTTTTGGAAGCAAAGTTAAGACTGCACGCTGGCAACTCTTAGGGAGACTTCCTTCAATAGTTGATTCCTGAAGAACTTTAAAAAAGTCACTCCCGATAACAGTCCACAAGCTCCTATAGAACTCAGCAGGAAGACCATCTATTATAAAGTTAAGTCTCCTTTTTTTGGAAGCAAAGTTAAGACTGCACGCTGGCAACTCTTAGGGAGACTTTCTTCAATAGTTGATTCCTGAAGAACTTTAAAAAAGTCATTCCCAATGACAGTCCACAAGCTCCTGTAGAACTCAGTAGGAAGACCATCTATTCCGGGTGTACGACCTAAAGAGAGGTCCATCACAGAGGCAGTCACTTCATCAAAAGTAAGTCTCTTTTCCAAAAAATCCTTCTGCTCTGAAGTTAGAACAGGGAGATCCTGAAGAAGTTATTTTCTAGCATGACCATCTGAGTTTTCAGCAGTAAAAAGAGTAGAGTAAAAATCTATAGCCAGTCTGCGCATCTCCACTGGGTCAGAAGTGATACGCCCAATACTGTCCTTTAGACTGTAGATCTGTTTATCTTGAGCAGCTTTGCGTTCCAAATTAAAGAAAAAAGAGGTAGGACCATCCATGTCTCTCACTGTTTAAAAACCTGCTCCTTATAAGTGCACCCTTTACTTTTTAATTTAAAATAGAGCTTAAGGAAGGTTTCTTTTCAGTCCACTTTTCCTGTATACCAACAACATTGTTAACAGTCATATTTCTCTCAATAACAGTAATTTCTTGTTCCAGTTGCTCCAATTACTTCTTTAAACACAAAGTGGAATAAGAGGCGTATTGCTGACAAAACAACTTTATACGTGCTTTCCCCACTTCCCACCACTGAATTATGCTATCAAAACGGGCCTTTTCAACTTTCCAACTTTCCCAAAATAACTTAAATTTCTCAATAAAAAGTTTATCTTCTAAAAGTTTTATATTAAAATGCCAATAATAACTTTTGTGAGGTCTTACGTCCAAGACACAATCAACTGTGATAAGTTTGTGATCAGAGAAAGACATGGGGACAATAGTTGTATTTCTAACTCTATTCCTCATATTTCCAGATACATAAAAACGGTCCAAACGTGCAGCAGAAATCAGACCAGTGCTGACTTTCACCCAAGTGTACTGTCGTGTTGAAAGATTGTGTTCCCTCCAAACATCTAAAAAATTCAGGTTCTCAATTACACTGGCTAAACAGAGTGCTGACTGTGAATGTGGCTCCTCCCCATTTCTATCAAGTGTAAAGTCCAATGTGCAATTCCAGTCCCCCCAAAAACAATAAAATCTTCATTCTGGTTTTGCCTTAAAAACTGTTTCAGCTTAATGAAAAGCTTAATTCTGTCGGGGCCAGTATTAGGGGCATATTCACAAACAAAAAGCAGAAACTACTTATTTCTGCCCTTACAATTAGCAGCCTTCCTGGTTCTAACTTTTGTTTCAATAAAATTTTGGCTTTAACAGCAGGGGAGAAAAGCACAGCCACCCCTGCACTTAAATTAGTCCCATGACTGAGAACATGTTCTCCCTCCCACCACAACCTCCACTCAAATTCATTGCTTTGGTTACTATGAGTCTCTTGAAGGAAAATAACATTTAACTCTTTCAAATTAATTAATTCCTTTAAAAAATGATCCTTTCTTACATCCCTCATCCCATTCACATTAAGGGATCCCATTCTTAAAATCTCCATAAAGACGAAAGGGGGAAAGAGAAGACAGTATAGAAAAGAAATACAGATACAAGTCAACATATTCATTTTGTTTTCCCTCTTATTAGCCTCTCTTTTTGTGTCGATTTGCCTAATTGTCTAATTGCAGTAATATGTTTCTTCAGACGAAAATGCTTTTGTTGTGAAAGTTCCTTATAACTACTCACTTTTCGTGCCCACATCACAGAAGCGACAAACTTATCGAGGTCGGGGAAAAAATTACGCATTCTACACCCGCTTTACCTTTTGTTTTATCAAGAAAGGAATTTATTTCTTCAACAGAGTACAAATCCTTCTCATATTCTCCTGCCATTTCCGTGAAATCCGACCATTGTTCATCAT